GCGATTGGAGGCTGTTCCTAATATTTTCATTTCTTCCAATTTTACAATAAAAAGAAAAATAAGTTAAAATCGTGGGGTAACATGTGGAGTCCGATTGACTCTAAAGGATTATATGAAGGTCACAATATTTCGTTGGGGCTACAAAGAAGCACACGTGTGAAATCCCATTTATAAATTTCTTTAATAATTATAGCATTGTGATCTTCATATGATTTTTTAGAGTCAATCGGACTCCACATGTTACCCCATGATTTTAAAATATTTTTGTTTTCACTGTAAAATTTGAAGAAATGAAAATATTAGGAACAGTCTCCAATCGCCTTGACCTTGACAAATGTTGTCAAAGTCATGATTCTGAACAATATTTAAAAGGTTTCAGCCGTCGGTCGGACAGCTTGGGTACCTATGCTAATGGCAACAATATTATAACTTTGAAGCCTTTTAACTCGAAAGATACTTAATGAAAAAATATTTTATTATAATGTTTTGGAAAGCTCTCAAGGTAAGCTACAAGAATATGCAATGAAAAATGGAGGTTTCCATTTAAGAAATTGAAGGTGACCTTTACGTGACTTTCAAACGACTATCCAGTGTCAAGCCAATTACACCACCTTATCTACCCCTCCGAACCATATAACTTTTGTTTGAAATATTTTTCCGTATTTTCCATATTTTTCGAGATATTTGCCTGGTTCGATTAAAATGATTCACCCTGTAGATTTAACCTTTAGACTGCCGGGAAAGCCACTTTTGTGGCTCTTGAGTTTGGGTTAAAATATCACTATTTTCAGTGGTATTTTAAATACTAAATGTATTTGTGCGGGTATGTGGCTCACGCAATGCGTGACTACGTTGTTCTCCGGTGCCCACTTCGCGCTTATTCGTTCTCGCGTCGCCGAAATAGCAACCTTCTCGCGCCGTGGTGCGGCGGCTTTTGTTATCTTCGCCGCGCGCGTAATACTATCACTCGCTCCTCCGGCATAGCATCATTCCCTCGTGTTTCGCTCCAAATAGATATTTCGCGAAATCTATACGAAAAATTATTGTATAAAATGAATGTCGAGTTTGACGTTTGGTCTAGTGACGAATCAGAGCCTAGTGAGATAGATCCAGATGATCTTTCAAGTGATCTAAATAATATGGAAGTGGATGAAGAAACCGATTACTTGTCAAATGCGAAAATATTTTATGATAATAATTTCTATCCCTCTGTGAAAGATTTTGACGGTGAATCTAGTATTCGTGAAGATATTCCTCTCACAAGTTTCAAGCCATTACATTACTTTAAACTTTTTTTTGACCTTTTTATGTTGGAAATAATTACACAAGAAACAAATCAGTCACAAAATCCTGAGCCTTATCGTTTGCATATGCAGCCGTGGGTAGATTTGACTATAGAGGAACTAAAAACGTTCATTGGTCTTACTATTCTTATGGGTCACGTTAGAAGGGGTTCTATTCAAGATTATTGGAGTACTGATTCTATCCTATTGACTCCAATTTTTAGACAAACAATG